TTTTGGCTGGTTTTGGTATTGCTAACTGTTTAAAACATGCCTGGGATAACCTCTCAGATGGTTTAGACAGGGTCAGTTCAGTTGTTTTCTTCTGAGTTTGATGAAAGATGCTTGGAATATCACTAATAGGTAGTAAAACTAAACTGCAGCTGAATGTGGCTATCTGCAGTTTGCAGTGTTGTAGCTGTGTTGGTCCCAGGATATTAGAGAGACAAAGTGGGTGGGTGAGGTGGTATCTTGTTTTGGACCAGCTTCTGATGGTGAAAGAGTCAAGCTTTTGAGCTACCTGGAGAAGAGCTCTGTGTAACTCAGAAGCTTGACTCTTTCACCAACAGAAGCTGGTCCAATTAAAAATATTGCCTCACCCACCTTGTGCCTGCAGTGACATCCTCCTACTTTCTTCTGGAGTGCGTAATCCACTTCCAGACACTGAAATATATTGTGTATGGAAGCTGAAATGGAGTCATGTGGTGTCATGTTCTATGGTCAACTAAATTTTAGAAATATTTTGGACCAAATAAAGTACCAAATATATAGAGTTGCAATGTTGATCCATGTCAATAAATTACATCAAATACAGCACTCACTACTGGCTTATCTGTGGAATAACATGCAGAGGGAATCTACTGGGAAGTAACCTTGTGCTTGCATGTCTCTCTGGCCTGAATATTGGGCAGCAGAAGAATGAAGCTGGCTATATATAAAGGGATGAAAAAATGAATCTTATCATTAATAACATTGTAAAGAAGGAAATTTAAGGCCTCGTCAACATAGTGGGCTGAAACCATGCTTGGTGAAGTCTTGCGGAGTTACACCAAGGATGAATATAGCTCCTTAATTCATAGTAAAGCACACTATTATAGAATGTGACCGGGTCGGGCCAGATGGCTATAGGAGAGTAATAGAAGGCAGATCTATTAGCCCCAGGCTAACTAGGTCCCTTTTCCCTGGGTAAGGTAACAGGGAAGCTTCCAGAACAATCAGGAACCTTCTGGAGACAATTAAGACAGACTGATTAGAACACCTGCAGCCAATCAAGAAGCTGCTAGAATCAATTAAGGCAGGCTAATGAGGGCACCTGGGTTTTAAAAAGGAGCTCACTTCAGTTTGTGGTGTGCGTGTGAGGAGTTGGGAGCAAGAGGCACTAGGAGCTGAGAGTGAGAACGCGGACTGTTGGAGGAGTGGGGTGTACAAGCATTATCAGACACCAGGAGGAAGGTCCTATGGTGAGGATAAAGAAGGTGTTGGGGGGAGGCTGTGGGGAAGTAGCCCAGGGAGTCGTAGCTGTCTCACAGCTGTTCCAGGAGGCACTCTAGACAGCTGCATTCCACAGGGCCCTGGGCTGGAACCCAGAGTAGAGGGCGGGTCCGGGTTCCCCCCAAACCTCCCAACTCCTGGTCAGACACAGGAGGAGTCGTCCTGGACTGTGGGTTCAGAAAAACGGCCAAGCTGAGGGCTGCCGTGAAGCTCCAAGGCGAGCAAATCCGCCAATAAGCGCAAGACCCACCAAGGTAGAGCAGGAACCTTGTCACAAGAGCTACATCTAACATGAAGAAATTTATTACATTTTGGATCATGAAAGAACTAATTTCACTGTTATGTTCTCTTGCTGTATGAAGGTGTCATTAACTGTAAAAATAAGAGTGGACAGAAGCTGTTCATTTTAGTTTATTATTTTAAACCTTTGTTTTGAAAGTTATAAGTTAAAATAATAAGAATAGTAATGAAGAAATGCCATTTCTGATTTTTGAGAAAAGGGGCTGTACAATTCTGTAAGTTAAATCTTGAACTGGAAGTAGTCCCTCTTTTTTTGATGGGGTACATCCCATATTAATGGGAGCTTCTTGTATTAATGTACTAAGTGCCCAACACTTACTCACGTTGAGTAATCGCTTACACCACAAGCAGTCCTATTGAAAATCTTGGGGCTACTTGTGGAGTGATGTACAAAACAATGTGAACAAAGGTGTCAGAATTGAGCCTTAAAGGGCTACATTTTAGTCCTACTGAAGTCAATCTTGCCATTTTCATTCACTGAATGGTAATTTTGCCTTAGTAAGGTGTCTAAGGACTTGTCTAGGATTTGCTGCTGTTGTTGATTTGGCCCTAAAACTGTTTTAAGGTAACTGCAGGGGGTCAGGATTCCCCCTCCTCTCCAACAAAACTTTTTTTTCGTTTTGTTTTGTTTCATTCCTCTGAAGCATCTGGAGATTGGACACTGGACTGGTTAGAGCTGGTGCTCCAAGGTGGTCATGAGAATTCTCTTTATCAGATTCTTGGCTCGCTCATTCTTGCTTACATGCTCAGGGTCTGACTGATTGCCGTATGTGGGATTAGGAAGGAATTTCCCCCCAGATCACATTGGCAGGGACCTTGGGTTTTTTTTCACCTTCCTCTACAAGATGGGGCACACATTGATTGCTAGGATCATCTGGGTGTGTATCATTAATCAGTTCCCAGCACTGCAGAGGCCTTGGTCTTTGGTGCATCCAAGTCCCTCCTATTATATGCCTGTGGCACACATTATCTTAATCTCCTGCGAGTTTTGACATTTTGTCTAATTTCGGTTGTTGGGTTTGGTGTGTGGGTACCTAGATGCTGTTTATGGTCTGTGATATACAGGAGGTCAGAGTAGATGATCTGGTGATCCCTTCTGGCCTTAAGCTCTATGATTCTATGAGCTATTCACTGTGAACATGACTACATGGTCTGGGGATCTACACAGCACTAACAGAACTTCCCAAAGTTCTGTCTCATACCAGATTGGGGTCTGGTGTTGAAACTGGCGTGGATTGTTCGAGGGCTCTGTTTTCTCTTCAGTTGCTTCAGAACACTGATCAGGAGCCTGGAGAGTGTCCTCTGAGCATGTGAACAGTGTAATGGTAAGAACTGTCCAGGAGCATGAAATGTTAATCCGTATATCTTTCTAGGATTATTTTTTCCACGAGGAAGAGAGAGAAATTCCATAAACATGTGATCTCTGCCATTTCTCCAGCTTTTCAGTGTTGTAAACAAAATATTAACATGATACATGCATGTTTATTAGAGTAGATCCATATTTGAACGCGTTGTCCTGATAGTTATTATTAATATTACCAATGCTATCTTGGCAGAGGTAGGTAGGGGAAGTTGTCGTATTTGACACCTGATGTCAAACATGCAGTTCTTGTAGTATAGTGGCTACAGTATGTTCACTGAATTCCTGTATTACCAATGTTTCTCATATCTGGGTTTATTAACAAATCTTTCTGGATTGGAAGCATAAATGAGTTATTTTTGTAACCAATGTCCTTTTTGCCGAAAACATTCATTTTTGGTGATCTTTGACTGTTGAATTTCATGTGTACCATTGACATTCAAATCTCCAAAACACTACATATTGCCAAAATCTAATTTTACTGGCAAAATCTTGGTTTTGTGGATTTCCAGCTCTGAGTCAGGATAAGCAATTAAATACTACCATAGAATTTGGGCTTTGTTCTTTGGCTCTGCAACAGAGCCGTATTGTGTGGGAAAACCTCTGTGGTTTGTGTTGTGTGTGGATCAAGGATTAATAGAGAAGTTTAGCTTTCAGCAGTTTCAGCATTTCATGCATGGTTGTAGCAACAGATTAATAAGAAATGAGGTATGTTGTGCTTTCATCTCACAAAAATAGGGATCCGCTGAAGGTAAAGAAGCATTGGCTGGTCGTGGTTTGGCCTATTGTATACAACATATAGGTCCCCTTTTTGTGTTGATGAGCATATTTACATGAGTTGTCACATACTAGACAGAAAGAAAGCTACAAACTTTTTGTATTACATTCCGAGCATCACGTGATAAATAATTAATTTGGTGTATTCATAGTCTAACAACTTTGTCTCTTTATTTTGCTAAGCATTTTTGTAAAGGTTCAAATGGGATTTTTCTTGTCACAACTGAAAGGTTTGCATCAGCCTGTTACAAGTGGTACTGTGATGGAAAGATCTTAGCAGTACCTAATACAGGAATTCAGTGAACATACTGTAGCCACTATACTACAAGAACTGCATGTTTGACATCAGGTGTCAAATACGACAACTTCCCCTACCTACCTCTGCCAAGATAGCATTTGAAACAATTTCAGTTCTCATGGTGTAGATAGAGTCAACTGTGTTGACTACGTGTTGTAAGAAAGCATTCTCAACGTCTTGTCCTAACAGGTCAACCACATTTCTATGCCAGGGAACAGATTTGGATAAATCACTGTGACTTGCTCCAGTGCAACTCAGAATCAAGATTAGAATCTGGCCCTGGGCGTACTGTACATCAGTGGTGCCCAACCTTATTACACATGAGGGCCACATAAACATAGCCACAACCTTGTGTGGGCAAACAGATTCTACATATTTTAATAAGATTTATTGATTTATATTGTAAGTTGAGCTTGTTTTGTATGTATTTAGATAGGTTGTTTCTAGGTATGGTATTGTCTATTTACACACTTATGTAAACTAAAATGATGTAAACATGATGACAAAACACTAATGGATTGGCAGTGAGTATAGTCTGCTGAAGCAGGCCACAGGCCTTATGAAATGCTCTAGTGGGCCTTAGGTTGGGCTCCCCTGCTGTACATGGTTTGGTCTTGTCCACAACAAGGACAAAACCATGTTCAGCTCTGGTTGACAATACTAGAGGGCAGCAAGCGGGGTAGAACACAGCATGATATCTAATCACAGTCTTTGGGCCTGAATCTCTGCTCACCTACAGTAGTGTAAATCTGAAGTAATTCCAGTAAAGTGAATGTACAGTGGTGTAAGAGGAAAATCATATTGCTTTTTTCTCCTGGGGAATCATTTGCCCAAAATATCTTTGGTGTACTCTCTGCTGGACAACCCTTGGAACAGCATTAATATTCCCCCTGTGCTGGTGAGACAAGAGGTTAAGCATTCTGAATGCAGTTTGGCAACAGTTGTGAGAGAAAAAGAAAGATAACAGGGAAATGAAGACATTATAGAATGAAAAGCTTGTATACATACCATTCATTCTCCTGACATGACGTCCCCAACCTCAAATACACAGTGCAGATTTCCATATAACATGAAAAGGAATAGTCCGAAATACAATGCTGAGATCCTCCGAGCACCAAAAAAAAAAAAAAAAAAAAAAAAAAGACAATGAAACTGGAGTATTGCAGCCTAGTTTGTTGATTTTTTAAATGGGGGGAAATGCAAGATTATTCTGTCCTAAAAAAATTAAAACATTAAGCAGTCTTGATAGCACAGTGGTTCTTTCTAAACTGTTCTTGGGAGCTATCTCAGATGATTAAAATACACAGCTTGGAAAAGATTAACTAAAGTTATTAGCTAACGTCTCTTATCGCTATGGTACTTCCACTCTTTTCAAAACAGGAAATAAAACAGTTAAACTCCCAGCAATGTTCTTTGATACAAAAGTCAATGTTCTTTGAATGAAAAAGAATTAAATCAGTAAGTATCCATATGTCTGGATGGCTCAGCTGCTGCTAATTACCATTCACAGCAGTCTTAATTATAGTTATTACATTGGTTTTTGAAGTTAGCCTCTTACACAGGAATACATGTGTTTGGAGGAGGGGTCAGAGATTGCTTGAGCAGCCTATCCAGAGATCCGAAGAAGAGCTCTGTATACCTTGAAGATGTCTCTTTCATCAACAGAAGTAGGTGTAATAAAATATATTACCTCACCTACCTTGTCTCTGGGAAATTAGTGAATATCACAAGTTTAATAATCTCTCTCTCCCAGAGTTTCTCATTCAATGACTCTTGTTAGATCATACAGAGAAATAGTCTTTTTTCCTACCTGCAGTGAAAGGGAATTAAGGGGAAAAAATAAGTAAAGTCTGTGTGTTGCATGTTTGTGTTAATATTTCCTGGATGAGATCATCTGCAGAGCTTTGCAATTTAAGAGCTAAGCAAACAAAGCTTTCTCATCAAATACTTCCCATGCCTCCAACACATGATTGCTTGTCATTAATGAACCTCAAAAAGAGGTTATTACTATTTGTTATTTTTATAGTATTCAAAGTATGCTGGGTACTTTACAGACAGTAAGAAGATAAGAACCCCTGCTTCAAGAGATTATGCATCGAAGGAAACAAAGTACAGACAAAGAATGGGGAATTAAATGCAACAAAAAGCCAAGTGACTGAATGACTAGATGTATCACATCTTGTTCTATGATTTGGGGTTGGATTCCTGTTCTGTATTGTCAGTTTGTTAGCATTTCCTTGGGGGAGAGGGAAGAACTAGAGTCTATAGCAGGGATCGGCAACTTTTGGCACATGACCCGTCAGGGAAATTCACTGGTCAGCTGGGATGGTTTGTTTACCTGCAGCGTCCATGGGTTCTGCTGATCGCAGTTCCCACTTGTCGCAGTTCGCCGTTCCAGGCCAACAGGGGCTACGGGAAGTGGTGGCCAGCACATCCCTCGGCCAATGCAGCTTCCCGCAGCCCCCACTGGCCTAGAATGGTGAACTGCAGCCAGTGGGAGCTGCGATCGGGTGAACCTGCGGATGCTGCAGGTAAACAAACCGTCTTGGCCTGCCAGCAGATTTCCCTGATGGGCCGTGTCAAGGTTCCTTCCCCACTCTGACCTCTAGGGTACAGATGTGGGGACCTGCATGAAAAATGCCCTAAGCTTATTTTTACCAGCTTAGGTTAAACTTCCCCAAGGTACAAACTATTTTACCTTTTGTCCCTGGACCTTATTGCTGCCACCACCAAGCGTCTAACAAATATAACAGGGAAAGAGCCCACTTGGAAACGTCTTTCCCCCCAAAATCCCCCAAGCCCTACTTTCCTGGGGAAGGCTTGATAAAAATCCTCACCAATTTGCATAGGTGAACACAGACCCAAACCCTTGGATCTTAAGAACAATGAAAAAGCAATCAGGTTCTTAAAAGAAGAATTTTAATTAAAGAAAAAGTAAAAGAATCACCTCTGTAAAATCAGGATGGTAAATACCTTGTAGGGTAATCAGATTCAAAACATAGAGAATCCCTCTAGGCAAAACCTTAAGTTACAAAAAGACACAAAAACAGAAATATACATTCCATTCAGCACAACTTATTTTATCAGCCATTTAAACAAAACAGAATCTAACGCATATCTAACTAGATTGCTTATTAACCCTTTACAGGAGTTCTGACCTCCATTCCTGCTCTGGTCCCGGCAAAAGCAACACACAGACAGAGAGAACCCTTTGTTTCCCCCCCTCCAGCTTTGAAAGTATCTTGTCTCCTCATTGGTCATTTTGGTCAGGTGCCAGCAAGTTGTCTTAGCTTCTTAACCCTTTACAGGTGAAAGGGTTTTTCCTCCGGCCAGGAGGGATTTAAAAGGTGTTTACCCTTCCCTTTATATTTATGACAGGCCGCGTGCCAAGTTTTGCCAGTCCTTGGTCTGTAGGCTTTTTGAAATATGTGTGTTTTAAGAGGAGGAACTTAGAGGGATGGAGGATGGCTACTCATGGGGGGGATTCTATGCCAAAGAATTCAAAATTCTGTGCCAAAAAAATCAAAATTCTGCAAAATTCTACATATTTTATTTGTCAAAATAATGCAGTATAATCACACCAGTTTCAATTGTTTTGGTAATTTATTTACAGAATACAATACAGAAAAATGTCTCAATAACTATTCAGCATTTCCTAAACACATGAAAGGTAAGTTACAAACACTTGGTAACTAATATCCTGCAATCCAGTTATAATGTTGGATTTTTATTTAAATCACATTACAGAACACCAGATAGCCAAAAAAAAAAAAAGTAGAATGTAATTTTAAATTGCTCAGACTTTCACACATGAAAGTCATACAGTTTTGTTAATCATTATCCCGGACCTGGCTGGGTACTTTGGGAAGGGCTTGGTTCTGATTGTCCTGACATTTTATTGACTGCTTGGTAAATGTTTTATTTGCCATCAAAGTCTTTTTTTTTTAAATGGGTAAGTAAAATAAATCCTAAGCTGTAATCTAACCCCATTGTGCCACTTTGGCACAGGAAAAGAGTGAAAAATCACACAGATCTTCCTATATGAGGATTTCCATACTGTCATTTATATAATGCTCCTTTACATCACTCTGGCAATGTAGGGGCCTTAAAACTTTTACGGGTTTTATGCTCCTGGGGGAATTGACTGATAATGGGAACAGTTAACCAACAATAGGAACAATAAGCATGCTGCTACACTTCTGCCTCAGAGAATGAGATCAATTAAACATCAACAGCAACTTTAACAATGTTACTACCGGCAGGCTGCTAGATTTGTGCATCAGAGAAAGAGATCAATTAACTAGGAGGCAGGCTGCTACACTGCCTTCCAGACATAGCCTGCCTCATGCATAATAAAAAGCCCTACCCTTCTACACCAGCGAGCTGCAGTAGCAAGAGAGAGGGACATAGTCAGTCTCTCTCTCCCTCTCTCTCACTTGTTGGCCCAGCACCTCCCACAATGGTGATCAACCACACAGGCATGCACGACCAGTCCCCATCCCGATTTCTAAGGCTGCTCCAGGCATGCTGGAACAGATCCGCTGCTGGGGAAGAAGTGCATGTCCCCTGGCAGATTTTTTTAAAAAATTTTCTGCGTGGTGGGCACAGAAATATGCATAGAATCATAGAATATCAGGGTTGGAAGTGACCTCAGGAGTTCATCTAGTCCAACCTCCTGCTCAAAGCAGGACCAGTCCCCGACTAAATCAGCCCAGCCAGGGCTTTGTCAAGCCTGACCTTAAAAACCTCTAAGGTTGTAGATTCCACCACCTCCCTAGGTAACGCATTCCAGTGCTTCACCACCCTCCTAGTGAAAAAGTTTTTCCTAATATCCAGCCTAAACCTCCCCCGCTGCAACTTGAGACCATTACTCCTTGTTCTGTCATCTGCTACCACTGAGAACAGTCTAGATCCATCCTCTTTGGAACCTCCTTTCAAGTAATTGAAAGCAGCTATCAAATCCCCCCTCATTCTTCTCTTCTGCAAACTAAATAATCCCAGTTCCCTCAGCCTCTCCTCATAAATCATGTGCTTCAGCCCCCTCATCATTTTTGTTGCCCTCCACTGGACTCTTTCCAATTTTTCCACATCCTTCTTGTAGTGTGGGGCCCAAAACTGGACACAGAACTCCAGATGAGGCCTCACCAATGCCGAATAGAGGGGAATGATCATGTCCCTCGATCTGCTGGCAATTCTCCTACTTATACAGCCCAAAATGCCATTAGCCTTCTTGGCAACAGGGGCACACTGTTGACTCATATCCAGCTTCTCGTCCACTGTAACCCTTAAGTCCTTTTCTGCAGAACTGCTGCCTAGCCACTCGGTCCCTAGTCTGTAGCTGTGCGTGGGATTCTTCCGTCCTAAGTGCAGGACTCTGCACTTGTCCTTGTTGAACCTCATCAGATTTTTTTTGGCCCAATCCTCTAATTTCTCTAGGTCCCTCTGTATCCTATCCCTATCCTCCAGCGTATCTACTATTCCTCCCAGTTTAGTGTCATCTGCAAACTTGCTGAGGGTGCAATCCACTCCATCCTCCAGATCATTAATGAAGATATTGAACAAAGCCGGCCCCAGGACTGACCCTTGGGGCACTCCGCTTGATACAAGCTGCCAACTAGACATGGAGCCATTGATCACTACCCATTGATCCCGACGATCTAGTCAGCTTTCTATCCACCTTATCCATTCAGCCAGCCCATACTTCTTTAACTTGCTGGCAAGAATACTGTGGGAGACCGTATCAAAATCTTTGCTAAAGTCAAGGAATAACATGTCCACTGGTTTCCCCTCATGCACAGAGCCTGTTATGTCATCATAGAAGGCAATTAGATTAGTAAGGCATGACTTGCCCTTGGTGAATCCATGCTGACTGTTCCTGATCACTTTCCTCTCCTCGAAGTGCTTCAGAATTGATTCCTTGAGGACCTGCTCCATGATTTTTCCAGGGACTGAGGTGAGGCTGACTGGCCTGTAGTTCCCAGGATCCTCCTCCTTCCCTTTTTTAAAGATGGGCACTACATTAGCCTTTTTCCGGTCATCTGGGACTTCCCCGGATCTCCATGAGTTTTCAAAGATAATGGCCAATGGCTCTGCAATCACATCTGCCAATTCCTTTAGCGCCCTTGGATGCAGCGCATGGACTTGTGCTCATCCAGCTTTTCTAAATAGTCCTGAACCACTTCTTTCTCCACAGAGGGCTGGTCACCTCCTCCCCACACTGTGCTGCCCAGTGCAGTAGTCTGGGAGCTGACCTTGTTCGTGAAGACAGAGGCAAAAAAAGCATTGAGTACATTAGCTTTTTCCACATCCTCTGTCACTAGGTTGTCTCCCTCATTCAGTAAGGGGCCCACACTTTCC